TAATAAAAGGAGATAGAATATTGCTTCCATATAAAAGAGCCTTCTTTATCTCATATCCATATTTGAAGGACTTGTTTTACAGCTTTTTGTTTCAAAAATTGTTCCCATTTTCTTTTTCTAGAGTGAGTTTTAAAGTTTAGAGAAAAAATTATTTGACCACAGCACCTCAAACAGTGAGTTTCTGTTTGTTCGGGGACAACATCTGCTGCTGCTCAAGACTTACTCCTGGATTTGCACTCAGGAATTACTGCTGGTGTGACTGGGTAACATATGGAGTGTCAGGGATCAAATCCATGTCGATGACCTGCAAGTCAAATGCCTTACCTGTTGTGCTCATATCTCTGGCCCAGTAACCGGTGATTATTATTTTAAAGATTTTTTTCTACCTCCTGTCCCTGCAAAGAAAGTTTCCCAGCTCCCATTTCACAAGTGTGTCTTGAAACTAAGAAGTAAAATGAAAACCCATGGTGTCTTGTGTTGGTTTTGCAGCAAAATGTCAAGTCTGGAGACTGATTTTTGGATCAATTTCATTTATTAATCCTCATATTAAGTAAGCACACCACGATATTATCAGATAAAAAAGTGTCATTAGTAGTAACTTAATAGTAAGTGGATGTTGGCTTTTGGAGGGAGAAGTTGAAAGGCATATGTCAAATGTTAAAGAAATGCAAAATGATGTATTATTGTAGGAATGAAAGTGGAGAGTGAAGGTTTATTGCCTGCACCACTGAACAGGATATTTCCTTTTATTCTGAAAACATTTTCCATAAAGGTAAAGGTAAAGGCCCTCCCGTTGATCGTCGATTTGCTCGAGCGGGCCCAGTAACATCTCCATTGGAGACTTTGTTGTTACTGTGTCTGGCATATCAAATACTCTCGGTAGCTTGCCGGGCTCTCCGAGAGGGGCGGAGGAATCGAACTCGGGTCGGCCATGTTGGCCGCGTTATAATTTCAAGAAGATAATAAAACTTTATCTGCACATTAATTTATATATTTAATACTTGTAAATAAATTTATATGGGCGGGAGCGATAGCACAGTGGGTAGGGTGTTTGCCTTGCATGTGGCCGACCCAGGTTCAATTCATCCATCCCTATTGGAGAGAATGGCAAGCTACTGAGAGTATCCTGCCCGCACGGCAGAGCATGGAAAGCTCCTCATGGCATACTCCACATGCCAAAAACAGTTAAAACAAGTATCACAATGGAGACATTACTGGTGCTCGCTTGAGCAAATCAATGAACAGCGGGAAAACAGTGCTACAGCTATATGCTGTAGGCATGCAAATAAATCTATATATACTATGCGGGAAGATTAAATTCAGCTTAAGTCAAACAACTCTCAGGTGGAAGAAAGTTTTTATGCAGTAACTCCAAAACTCTCCATCTTTTTAAAATTTTTATAAAGAGGTCAACTAGGGTCATGTTTCTGAACCAAAATGAGTAATAATAATTAATTCTATCTGGAGACCATTTACACTCTCTATAAGAATACAAGCACTTGAAGTGCTTAGGTGCATCTGGAAGTGGGTTGAGTCCATGTGCCAGAGAACAGATGACTGGTTAAAGAAACTGTGGTATATCTAAGGATAGTAGATACACGGGACAGATAGATTGCTCCATAGCTGGAAGCTTGGCTCATGAGCAAAGGGGAGAAGGCAGCTGGAATAGAGAAGGGATCGCTAAGAAAAAGATGGCTGGAGGAACCGGTCAGGATGGGAGATGCGTACAGAAAGTGGATAAAGGACCAAACATGATAACCTCTCAAGGTCTGTATTGCAAACCATAATGCCAAAAAGTAGAAAGAGATTATAGGGATCATATCTGCCATGGATGCAGGGGAAGGTGGGAAGGGGGGGTATACCGGGATATTAGTGGATGGGAATGTGCACTGGTGGAGTGATGAGTGTTTGATCATTGTGTGATTGTAACCCAAACATGAAAGCTTGTAACTATCTCACGGTGATTTAATAATTTTTTTTAAAATAAGAAAGTAACTTTGGTATATCTATACAATGAATACTATGCAGCTGTTAGGAAAGATGAAGTCATAAAATTTTCTTATAAGGTGATGGTCATGGAGAGCATTATGCTAAATGAAATGAGTCAGAAAGAGAGGGACAGAAACAGAATGACTGTATTCATTTGTGAGATATAAAAATAAAATAATATGAGACTAATACCCAAGGACAGTAGAGACAAGGGCCAGAAATATTGCTCCATACAATTGGAAGCCTGCCTCATGAACTGGGGGAGAAGGCAGCTGGAATAGAGAACGGCTCACTAAGTCAATGATGTTTGGAGGGATCGTTCGGGATGGAAGATGTGTGCTAAAAGTAGATAAAGGACCAAATGTGATAGCTTTTCAGTATCTATATTGCAAACCATAATGCCCAAGACTAGAGAGAGAGTATGGGGGAAATTGTCTGCCATAGATGCAGGGAGAGAGTTGTAATGGGGAGGGGGGAATACTGGGGACATTGGTGGTAGAGAATGTGCACTGGTGGAGGGATGGATATTTGATCATTGCATGACTGAAACTCAAACATGAAAGCTTTGTGACTGTATCTCATGGTAATTCAATTTTTAAAATTAACAGAAAAAAGAAAGTGGGTTGAGAAGCTTTTACACATGCTATATATGTTTTTTTACAATTTTGTGATAATCTTATAATGTAGTATTTTCTCTCACACACTTTTCATATAGAAATATTGGGTCTTAGGAAGATTAAGAGTCTGTTCAAGTATATTCAACTTAATGGAAAACTGGCATTGGAATTGTGAGACAAGCTATTTCTCTGTGACTAGAACATTTGCCTTGTATGCAACTGCTCCAGGTTTTGATCCTGGCACCCTTTAAGGTCTCCCGAGCTTGCCAGGAGTGATTGCAGAGAGTAGAGCCAGGAGTCAGTCCTGAGCACTGCAGAGTGTGACCCTCAAGAAAAACCCAAAGAAAAGAAAAAGAATTTGGATTGCCAGAGAAATGTTAAGGGAAGATGCCACAATGTCTTTTTCCCATTAGCAGCACATGGGAATGCATGACTAACAAAAAGCATGGTGCTTAGCTTTTGTTTGTATAAATAGTAAAATACCAAATGCAAAATAATCTCACTCATATGTGGGTTATAAATAAATACAGGAGGGGAATAACTAATGTCAAAAGCAATAGAAACTGGTCTTTAGTAGGCATAAAGCTTTTTTAAAAAAAAATTAGCTACCCCGATGGTTCTCAAGACTGTATTTGTGCCCGGAGATCACTCTTGGCAGTGCTCAGGGAAAGTTATGCAATGCTGGAGATTGAATTTGGGTTGGCTGTATGTAATGCAAAAGACTACTCACTATATTATTACTCCAGTCCCCAGGTCTTCAGTAGGAAGCCTACCACGGGAGAGGGAATTTTGTGTGGCACCAGAACAATGGTGGAGGGAAGCAGACATTCTGGTGTGACTTTGGAATGTTTTATGCATGAAACCCTGCATTAACTGGTTTGTAAATCATGGTGCCTAAAATCTAAAAGAAAAAAATATTAAATAAAAAGTAAAATATCAGACTTGTCACCAAGGTGGAAATTTTCACATCTGTTTCATTCTGTTTTACCTTTGTTAAGCCATAAATTATTCAAAGTCCTCAGTGAATAAGACAATGTTTAAAAATGAAGTTTCTGGTCTTTGCACAAACCTGTTCTCCATACAGTTCACACTTCTGACTTTTTATCTGAAAGGATGAACTCAGGAACTTTACAACCATTCCCAGTCTACGTCCTGGGTTTAGGTGCTGTCCACGGTGCTGAGAAACACTCTGGTATGCTTTCTAATCAAACTCGTCTCTGTCATAAAACTCTGAGTTTGTAATATCTAATTGCTCCGCACACTGGTAAAAAACTCTTTTATCAAGAGCAGTTTTTCAGGGAGCCTTAATATAGGCATTTTCATCCCCTCATTGTTAGAACAAAATCAAGAACCAAAGAAATGAGTTTATCAAGACAAAACAATTTGTAAGTGGCATGAAAGTCATTGAGAATTTAAATATCCATAAGTTCAATGGATCTAGTAGATTTGACTAATTACAACATATCACCACAGGTACCTCAAAATGCAGGTCTTTGTGCCTTAGCCGCAGATACTCCAGTTGGTTAGAGCTGGGGTGATGCCCGGGATTTACTATTAGAGATGATCCTGCCCAAAAACATAGCATTGTAGCACTGTCCTCCCATTGTCCATCGATTTGTTCAAGCAGGCACCAGCAACATCTCTATTGTGAGACTTGTTACTGTTTTTGGCATATTGAAAACGCCACTGGAAGCTTGCCAGGCTCTGCCGTGCGTGCAGAATATTCTCGGTAGCTTGCTATCACTCCAGCCTACCCGAAAACCATACTTGAAAAAATATTAAGAAAACCCCATAAGATTTACCAATATCCAAAGTAAACAGTTAAAGTAGCATGAAAATTAAAAGCATAGATTTAAAGACATTGTGATCTCTTCTCCGTTTCTTGAGTATCTATGTGTTCTTATAAAATGTACAGCCAACAAGTCAAATCCCATGGATGATTCAGATGTGACTGAATGAATACAATGGCCCTTACAATAGTTGGAAATCTAATACTTTAAATTTTTTCATATCACATGGATCACCCTACTAATACATTTCTAAGGCAAGAAGAGAAACATTTCATTTATAAGAATTGTCTGAAAATGTGAAATTTTATAACTTCTAGCATTATTTAGCAATTAGTATCTCACCTTTGTTGAGAATTTGCTATTTAGTATGTAATCCAGTATTATTTCATTAAAAATTTATTTTATGTTTATTATCTATCACCCAGGTTTCCAGTTAACATCTCTTGCATCAGAAGTGGTTTCAAAAGGTCACCCAAAACAGAACTAAAATTGACTGGAAGGTGCTACAGGAAGTCGCAGGAGTCAGTGGGAAAATTCTGTTACCTTCTTGATAAGTATTTATGAATGCAACAAAACAAACAGAAATATTTTAGTATGATGATACAAATTTAATACCATAATTATTTAATGAGTTTATAAATTAAAGGAATTCTACATCAGCAAAATAACAAATCAGTAATTATAATCACAGTAACAGATTAAGACTTTTGTTAAACCTAAAATTTTTGGTTAAGACTTTTGTTAAAACTAAAATTCAATGAAAATGACAGAATTGTGATTTTCATTGTGTTATATGTAATCCCTGAGTAATTATCTCTGGCAAAGAGCAAAGGCAAGTAACCTTTACTAAAGATAAAATTTTAAAATTAACTTTGATTAACTATGAAATTATTACATTCTTATCTTTTCAGATTATGAGATTATCATCTCTGAGGATCCACAAATAGGCTTTGAGATATTGTCTTTTCAGATTATTGATTTATCTGTTGATCCTTCATCTTGTTTCACAGAGGATTTAAAGCCATCATTTCAAATTAAGTTATCTATTCTTTTCAGATGAAATAAAAGAAGTAATTGAATTTCCATCAACATATTTTCAGTTGTCAGATCAGGCTATTCCCGCGGCTTCACTTTATTTTCTGAAGGGCATTGCAAAGGGTTCCAATTTCACCTGAAAAGAAAAATAAACAGGTCTCTTGTATCATAAGCAAGTACCATCATGTGTCGATAATGGGTAAAATTCTAGATCAGAAGGATGCTGCAGAAAAGTCATAAGCCCAACCTTCAAGGGGATCATAGCTCAGCTATGATCAGTACTGGTGTAAATGCTTTTTTATCTAAAAAAAAAACTTTAGGAAATTTTGGAGCTTTTCATGTAATTACCTAACTTTTTAAAAGAGTATTTCTCAGGGGCTGGAGTGATAGCAAAGCAGGTAGGGCGTTGCCTTGCATGTAGCTGACCCGGGTTCAATTCCCAGCATCCCATATGGTCCCCTGAGCACCGCCAGGAGTAATTCCTGAATGAAGATCCAGGAGTAACCCCTCTCTATTGCTGGGTGTGACCCAAAAAGCAAAAAAAAAAAGAAAAAAGAAAAGAAAAGAGTATTTCTCAGGGGAGGAGTCAAAAGATTTCTCCCCAGGAAAATAACATGTTGTTCTGTTTCATTTTTTTAATATGACAATCCATCGGGGCAAGGAATTACAACAATGAACCTAAAATAACAGTACCCACAAACTTTCTTTGTCAGAATCACCTGAAGTCACTCATGAGACTTATTACAGCCCAAATATGAACTTCTCTGGAGATTCTTTATCCTTAATTCAATATTCAGTGAATTTTTTTCTCCTCCTAAGGTGATGGCAAGGAAACATAAATTTCTATGTCTGAGAAGAAGAGTGACCTTGTAGGGTGTAAATCACTTACTGTTAATGGAGTCAGCCAAAATTTTAAGTTGCTGGGTAGTGTCCAGAAACTCAACACTTTGGGTGTACGGGTCATAACGAACCGAGAAGGGTCGTGGGATTGTAGCAGCAAAGTTCCTGAAACCAAAACCAAAGACCTAAGTAAATGCACAATTTGGGGGGAAACTATTTGTATACTTCTCAGTGAAATTTCATTTGAATGTTATTAGCCCAGAAACTTTATCGCAGCAGATGTTTTTCCAATGCAGGAAGAGGAATGAAATGGAGTCAAGTGAAGAGAATTTGTGAGTTGTGTCTGGGTTTGTTTAATATACACATAGGCACATAATTATTTTTTCACCTCCCTCTAAAAATCATGGGCGGGTACAGAATAATGTTAGGACACAATTATTATCACTAAATTAAATCAGGAGTAAGTACAATCTAGCCAAAGAATGCTTCAGGAAAACAAATAAAATCCAAGATGTTTGACAGTCAATAAGAGAAGGAAAACAGATCTCAAAAAAGGATGGTGGGGGGAAGACCACTGTGCTAATAAATTTATGCAATTTCAATTATACCTGGTTTAATGTTTCCTGTGTGCCAAGAGCTATGCAAGTTTTTAATTGTCCAATACTCTTCACAATTACTATTCTTAACTTAACATTCATTGAATTCTTCAGAGGAAAATAAAAAGAAGAGAAGAGAAGAGAGAAAAATATTAAGAAGATAATATTACTGTCTCCATTTACGGATGAGGAATCAGAAACTGTCAGGACTAAGTCTAGGGCAGATAGTTTCCCTAACAAAAACAAAACAAAACAAAAATCCAAGGTCTGGATAGTCCCCTGAACAAAATAGATTATGTTTTAGAACTAAAAAGTGGCAGCAAAAATGTACCCAGGAAAGAATAGTATAGAACAGTTTGGTTTGTTTTGTTTTTTTTAATGTAGAGGGTAACATAGCCAAGAATAGAATAGGAAATTGTCATAATTTTATTCTATATTTAAGGGTAATAGATGTTTGGCTAAGTGAAATGTCCCGGTCTCTGCCTTTAATGTAACCATTAATTTTAATGTGCTAACTAATATCTCTGTCAACTTAATGACTCATGTGTTGGGAGCCAGGGTAAGGGAGCAACATTTCATTGACTAAATGACCAGCCAGGGAATTCACACAATGACTGCCCTGGTGAACCTAAAACTTAGGAAGACCCTGTGTGTGTTTGTCTCTTCCTGTGTCTGTTTGTCTCATTCTTTGAGGTCAAACCCCACTGGAAGGAAGTTGAAGATAATAATCCAATTGATAGACATCTGTCAAACTCTCAAATAAATGGTGAAGCTGTTAAGTATTCTGAGAACAAGTGTCAAGTTTGCGTTCTTCACTTTTCTGTCTTCCCCAGTCAGGCCTTGTGCTTAAGTCTGGAAAGTGCTAGAAGTGCTAGAAGTCTTTAGGGGTGACGACATCCTTACTCTTCTGTAGTTTAATAATACACCTAAGCACTCCAACAAAAAATAAATCACACAAAGATGTAAGGAATGCTAAGAACCATGATAGGAAAATACTTTTAAAAACAATTAGAGAAAGACCCAAGGAAGCTTCAACGTGGGTGTAGATGTGAAGGAAACAGGGGAGTGAGTTATGCATATGTCTGGGAGAGTAAAGTGAGAGAAGAACTTCCCGGGTTATAAGCCTTCTTCTAGGAGTCTGCCCTGCTCTGTGTAAATAGCGCAGTGCATGAATACTTAGTGACGTCAATGAGCGAGGGTAGGGTGGCAGAGTTTTCTCCAAAGGCTAGCACATCCAATAAGTTGTGAAACACTTCTCTAAGGAACCCATTCTAGCAGAGTGGAAAGAGACTAAGGAGGTAATATTAAACACTGCTGTTACCAGCACTGGAGTCCATTCTCCTGACTTTCTGCCCACAGATCAGTAGCAGCACACCAAGTCAAAATTCCCCAAATCTATTTTACTACTGGTTGCCACCTTACCTTACTTTCTCCTTGGCATCATTAAAACTCTCAGCCACATAGTACAGAGGCTGAAACTCTGTGACGGTATATGGCTGAATAGCTGTCTTCTCCAGATCCAGGGGGAGGAGCGTTGGCTTATCAGACAAGCAGTACTACAGAGCCCAAATGGAAAGTTTTGGTGGTTAAATGAGGGTAGGTTGCTCCTGAGCTGTTCCTATAAATCACTTGTGCACTGTTTCCCAGTTCACCCTGATTATTTTTACATCCTATCTTACATACTTTAGATTATTTTGCATATACAATCTTCTGATATCCAAGGTAAAATGATTCTGGAACATCTTATGTTGCAAAAATTCATAGATGCTACAGCCCCTATGATTAAATGAGTAGCATTTGCATATAACTTTTGTATGGCTTCATATATACCTGGAAAGATATCTAAATTACTTATAAAGCCAACGCAATATAAACACCACACAAATAACTCTTATACTGCATTGTTTAAATAGTAATGGCCAGTATAAAAAAAAAGTATGTCCATCATCATACAGAAAAATCATCACAGGTATAACTACTTAAGATGCATTTTCATTCTTCATTATTTGAGTCACTGATATGAAATTCTAAAATACGTATTGGATATTGCCCTTCATAGCTCATTTAAGACCTATAAATAAGTTAAAAGATAGAAAGGAGTGATTCACTCTTACAAATTTCACTGTAAAATGATCAACAGATGACCTGTGAGCCAACTACAGTTTCTGGAAAGCATTTGCCTAAAATATCATGCACCATGTAATCAAAAGATCTACCGCCCCTGGAGACTTGTATACTTGCAATTCAGCTCTCATCTTGAAAACCCATAGTCATAAGTAAATTAAGGCTGATAACCACTGAAGGATAATGCCTAGGGTGGATTCCAACTCCAATGTAATTAGGTTATAAAAGCAATCAGAAAAAAATTCTCTCCATACCTAGCAATTTTAAATCCTCCCTTGGTTCTTGTTAGAGCCATACCTGTAATTCACCAAAGGATGACAAGAGCCCAGCACCATATGCTTTAATGGAGCCACCTTGTTTACAGAGCCCAAATTCCACGGTAAACCAGTAAATCTGGAATGGAAAATAAAGTTGAGAGGATAATCCAAGGGGGAACGGCAGCAGGTGGCCCAGAATGGACTTGTGTAGTTCCATGCTCCAAACCACCATAGTCTACAGTCTCTTGTCTGTGTCCTGTGTCTTGTGTCCTGGATCTTACTCTACCTGTTTCACTGAGAATTGTCTGAGTGTAAATTCAGTAGGAAGCAGTGAAGGAATAAGAAGACTGATAAGTCCCACCCAAATTGTTCGCAACAATATCTCATTATGACTGGGGGTCCTCAACCCACTTTTACTTTCATCTCTGAGGACCAGTTCGAAGGAGATGTTCCCTTACACTGATCAGATATAGCAAACAATTGTACCAGGTTCTGTCAGCAGAGTTGGGGGACTGGGGACTGATAGAATTGATGAGGGAACATTTCACAGTCTGTGCCTAAACTTGGGATATTTTTGAAATATCCCCTGCAAACAAATATTATCTTTTTCCCAAATAGTTACATTTTTATTTATTAACAATTACCAATCCAATATGTTATATATGCCTGGCTTAGGGACAATGGTGCTGGAATTCTGACATTTCCCTACTACATAGGACCAAGAGAAACCCAAGATCCAGCTTTCTGCTGAAAAGAGTCCTAGTCTTAGAAAATTACAAGTGGGGTACAAGTTAAATATGTGTATTGCACTAGAGGATGCTAAGTCCAGGAAATTGTGTGAGCTCAGTCAGTGTGACCATTTTACATACAAATGAGAAGTCTTTAGCCAAGAGGAGTTAAGCAAAATGTTTGCCTTTACACATCAAATAAAGGTGTGAGAGGATTCTAGTACTGTTCAAGATCATTATATTAACAACGCAATATTTTTTAAAAGAGTGGTTGTTGATGAATACTTTTATCATTGGTACACTGGGTAACATTTTGCTGAGTTCCTAGATTATTTTCTTCTTAAAAGTTAGATATTCTACCAAGCCCTTCATTTTCTTTGAAAGTTATCCCCTTTATTTATACAACATTTAATTTTTAAAGCTCATTCTCACACATTTAACTCATAATATACATCTATATAAGCTATTATATCCAAGTTTTAGATATCAGGAGACAAAAATCACTTGCCAGGCATTTAGAGAATCTGGTCAGTCAGAAAATTTTGGGTAGATTTTGGTTTTTCTAATAATTTGAATCCACACAAGTTCAAAACCAATCTATGATCATCATGCTAGAACTATATTTATTTGATACTTAATTCTACTGTAAAGCTGCTTTTCAACTTCTTGAATGAGCATACTGTAAAAGCTGGGGTGTGCAGGTTGGGGTGGCATACACAAGTTGGACAGAAATTGCTAGAAAAAAAATTCTTCTGTCTTGGGTATCACTTCAATTGTTTGCATGGATAATATCATAGCATTCCCCTGAGAAATGGAAGTATTTCCTTAAAAGGAGAAAACAGTTCCACTTCCATCTAAGAAATCTGAGAAAAGAATGCTCCTAATGCCAGATCACACACAAAGGTAGAAAATAAATATTTTCATCTTCAAAGTCACAAGTCCAGTAGTAGTCTATTGGTGTTTATGAGACACCCTGTCTAAAATTATATGTGTACACCTTTATGCAGTTGATTTCTAAATCAAAACTTTAAGGGAAAAATCTAAATGTGGTATTTTATTTTTGTAATCATAACCCAGTAAATTCTGATTTTTTGTCCAAATGACCTGGATTTCAGAGCAAGAGCAAACAATGGTTTGACCGTCTCACTATCCACCAGGGAACAAGGGTACTTACTGTGGCGAGTTTCTCAACATACTCATCAGGTGCACCCAGGGAAGCAAGGCCTATCTCCTGTAATTGTGGAGAAATGGAGTTACTGTCTTGACTGTGCTCTGGCCATCTTTAGTATTTCCCCCAGTGCATGTCTGGCACATGACCACAGAACAGAGGCAGCTGAACAGATGTCTTTAAAAGGTAGACCCCAGGAAGATCGTGGTTTTTCTGTCCAGTCTTTACAAACTGCCCCAGAAAATCACAGCTCTTTAGCCTTTAGCTTCTTGGATTCACTTTACAAATGAGAAAAATAAAACTCATGTAATGAAATGGCATGCTTAAGTCATTAAACAGTAAATTTGAGGCACTTCTCACCTCTGGGGGGGATGGCAAGGGTATAGCCAGAGAGAACGCTATCTAAGGAGGGGACATGTCAATTGATTCAAGAAGAAAGGAGTGGCTGGTATGAAGAGAGCAGAAAAGGGGGCCAGGTAAGCAATCTGGAGCCCAATTATGTAGGGCCATTGTAGATTTTTCAAGGCTTAGGATTTTTTTTTTTTGTCAGTGAAATGGGAGGTATATTTAAGACCTGGGTTAAGAAATTAAAAGATCATGTCATTTAATCTTTTTCCTTGATGTTGAATGAAAATAGATTGTAGGGACTGTAAAGAAGCACCGAGTGACAAGTTGGGAGGTTACTACCACTGTCAAAGTGAAAAAATGAGGTGACTGGGCCCAAGGTGATAGTAGTAAACAAGATGAAAAAAAGGTCAGATTGTTCATATAATTTGAAGTGAAAAACACAGGATTTTCAGGGTGGGGAGGAATTAATCTTGGGTTATGTGTCAGAGAAAGAAATCAATAAAATTCCCACAATTCTTTTTTATGCAAGTAGAAGCATAGGGTTGCCATGAACTGGTACTTGGAACTGTGGGTAGGAAAGTTCTCAAAATAAAACTTCATCATTCAGCTTCAGACACCCTATTTGGGTATCTATTAAACAACAATATGGTGATATTGAGTTGATGATGAATTGATGATTATAAAGGCAAGAATGAGTCTTGGTATTGAAGTTTGAACTGGAGATGCAAATGTCTTTATCAGAGCAGAGACAATGTTTAGAGCCCCGAGCTCAGTTCAAATATCCAAAGATATCATTGTAGACAGAGAAGATAAAGGATCAGGCCCAGTTTTGTCTTGATCTCTGTGTCCTTTCCTGGGCCAAACCCAGAGCCCAGCCCAGACTCTATGCTGAGAAAATGTTTAGTTAGAGGGAATCAAATTAAAACTCGGCCTTTAAAATGGCTCAACTTTACTGCTCTTTACCCGCTCGCTGCCCCATCCACAATGTTCAGACATGCCACAGTACATAATATAAAAGATCTTACCTGCACCCCCACCCATCCTACATAGTAGTGGCAAACAAACTCTAGTTGTAGACTAAAGGGCACTGTGCTAAGTGGACCTTCAAAATGACCCTCTGCCTTGAGAGTATCCAGGTTTAAACTGGAACTGTGTGAGCCTGATGCCGCAGAGCTTGTCTCTGTTCAACCAGATTATTGTCCCTTCCTCTAGGTTTTACCAAGTGAAAAAATACATTGAGGGTTGTTATTTGACCTCTGATGAGACAGAATAACTTCTGGTGGTGAGTTTTAAAAGTTCCTTTCCACACGGAGAATATCATGCTAAGTGAAATATGTCAGAAAGAGGGACAGACACAGAACTGCACCCATTTGTGGAGTATAAAACAACATAACATGAGGCTGAGACCTAAGGACAGTAGATACATGGGACAGATAGATTGTTCCATAGCAGGAAGCCTGCCTCATGAGCAAAGGGGAGAAGGCAGCTGGAATAGAGAAGGGATCACTAAGAAAAAGATGGCTGGAGGAATCAGTCGGGATGGGAGATGTGTGCAGAAAGTAGATAAAGGACCAAACATAATAACCTCTCAGAGTCTGTATTGCAAACCATAATGCCCAAAAGTAGAGAAAGATTATGGGGAATCATGTCTGCCATGGAGGCAGAGGGAGGATGGGAAAGGAGGGGTATACTGGGAATATTGGTGGTGGGGAATGTGCACTGGTAGAGGGATGGGTGTTTGATCATTGTGTGACTGTAACCCAAACATGAAAGCTTATAACTATCTCACAGTGATTCAATAAAAATTTTTTTAAAAAGTTCCTAAGCACCAAGAAAACACTTTATTTTACTTTGTCCATAGTAACATAGTCCAGTTTTTAAGTGGTCTCAAGCACTCCATGCTATCTTGGCACCAAAAATGACTTTTCCTTTTCACCTGGTAACCAACAGCCTCCATCCAGTGGTGATGCTTCCACTGCTAAAGTTCAACTAATCCCACCTCTAAAAGGCCAAAACTGTCACTACAATGCAACTCCTGAAACCCCACATAAAAGCAAAGTGTTTCTCTCATTTCTTTGGAGAGTCAAGAAGCTGTCTTATAAATATATTTCTCCATTACTTAGCAAGCAGTTTATTCAACTGTTTGTTTCAACAAACAAAACCAATGAACTGGTTGCCTCTTCAATAAACAGTAGAAATATTTATTTGTCCAAGCTGAGGGGAATTGTTATAAAATTCACATACAATCCCATAATTCTGAAATTTATCCTGAGTCTAGCTTCTACTCCTCAGTCACTCCATGTGATTTTTCATTTTTCCTGGTGAGGAAAAACACTGGCAAAAATTACAGTGCATTAATTAAAATTTATGGAGATGTAGGCACAGAGACACTGGAAATTTGCCTAAGTTACACAATAATCTGGCCAGGATGAGACCTATGGAAGCATCACTCAACTTCCTCATGATTCCAGCTACACAAATAGGCTTGTAGGCTGCCTCTGGGCCCCTAGAGAGGAGTCTAATATGGTTCTTTCACTTCTAACTGCTTACCACTTTTTAGATTAATCAAGATCTAGCCTGCTGCATTGATCATAGTGGAAGAATTTTGGTTCAGTATCATCTTTCCCATTATGAGTCAGGCTATTGGCACTGGATTCTTGGAAATTTTTACCTCAATTCATACAGAAAAACAGTGGCCTGACAGTTGTCAAGAAACTCAGTGTAGGAAGAGAATTTGGAAGAAAGTAAGGCACACGAGGATCAGAAAGAGTTACGGGAATCCAAAGGTTCTTTGAAAACTTACCACCTGATAGTTCAAGTGAAATGAGCAAATTCAACATCACTCATAGAAATCAGAGGATAATTGATTTATGGACCCCATGCTGTAATTCCTGGAATGATTTTTGGCCAATTCCATAGGATCAGATACCCATGTCGGATTGTAAGCAGTACTTGGTAGAGATACCATAATACATCTGCAACAGTACTATGTCCCTTGCAGAGTATTCAAGGACCCTTTTGTGGACTCAGTTAGCTTGAGCACTTTAGATTTCAATCCTGTACCCCAAAGAATAGAGATATCCATCCCTCACCTGGGAAAACTGGGCAAAGCTGCGATCTGAAAACAGAGGCACATGTCCCAACAGCTCATGGCAGATGTCCCTGAAAGGAAAAGCCACATTGCTTGGAAATGAAGTCGGTAAGACAAACCAGACTCAGTATTTCTATACCAGGAATGAATTAAAATAAAATTTCTCAGAGCATGACCTCAGTCCCAACAATAAATTCATGCATGCAAAAAAAAAAACAGGGATCAGATTAGATCAAGCAAGGTACATGAGAGAAGAAAAAAAGAGAAAATAAAAGTAAAGGACAGAGCATGATACAATAGTCAGTGAATATTAAATATTTGATTAATTGGGTGAGAAACTGAAATATACCAATATTTTATGGGAATATTCCTATATATTCCTCAAGGGCTGAAGTGATAGCACAGTGGATAGGGCGTTTGCCTTGCAAGCAGCCGACCTGGGTTTGATTCCTCTGCCCATCTCATAAAGCCCAGCAAGTTACCAAGAGTATCCCGCCTGCACGGCAAAGCCTGGCAAGCTACCCGTGACATATTCAATATGCCAAAAACAGTATCAACAAGTCTCACAATGGAGACATTACTGGGCCCGCTAGAGCAGATCAATGAACAACGGGAGGACAGTGCTACAGACAGTGCTACAATTCCTATATGTCAGACAAACAATGAACATTTTATTACCAAATCCTCACTTTGGTACAGACAGCCCCAGGCACATTGATTATGTTTAATCATTCTTCATGGGACTCCAAACCAATGTTTAAAATGGCCTAATCCTCTCTCATAGAACAAGGACATCAATGCAGTTGGAGAACATTTATATTTATTTAAAACCTTATGCCAGGGTCAAGAATGTGACTCAGTGGTACAGTACATTCTTTACAAGTGTGAGACCTGGTTTGGTTCCCAGTGTTAAATAAAAAACATTATGTCTTTTCTTGATTTATAATAATAAATCTTGTGGGCAGGGGAAAAACTACTTTGGGCATTCTACTGACTAATTTTTAATAAATTGCAGGCATTCTATCTAAGAAGTTGGCTGAATTAAAATGTAAAAATGCAGCCATTCTCTAGGTTTATAGAATTATATCCCAGCTGTGATATAATCTAAGAAGAAGAAAACCAGAATCATCTAGGTATGAGGTTTTGAGCAAGTGTGCAACCCCTTGTTCCTGTATTCCTGTTTGGAACATTGGATCCCTCTGAAACTTAAATCTGAAATCTTACTCCACAATACCAAGAAAGGCATATCCTGTTTGTAAGCTACCCACATCTTCAAGGGTAAGTAGCATAATGTATTTGAACAAAGAAAAATCCCCCAAGGAGTTGAATTTCACTCAGAGTTACCATCAAACAGTGCAAACAGTTAGTTCTGAAGATTGACCTACAAAAACTTAAATTTTGTATGTAGAGAAATACAGCACTGCAAAGCAGCTGGGAAACTGCCACCTGCACTAGGATAGTACTCACGGCTCAGGTGTATACATGGGTTTGGACCCATGTCTGATGTACTGGGTGCAATGGAAGACTCGGAAGGCCAGACCAGCCAAGAAGTCCCGAGAGGAAAGTAGACCAGCAACAGGACGAAGGCGGAAACCAGTGCAAGCTGGGGAACAAAAAGAGAAGGAAAACTGAAAACCTTGAAGCAAGAGGCAAGACATTCAACTTCTCAGGATGCCAAGTAGACTTGGCTTCTAGTACACTTCCCCCCAATACTTGATGACTGGTTCTTCACTTCCCTGAGCCTTGGTTTAGGGAAACCTTCCCCCAAACCTTTTCTTTTGCACATATTCCTCATATGCAAACCATGGCTAGATATTTCCCAGGATTATTTCAATAATCATAAAAGGTGAAAAATATGCTTAGCTCAGAGATTAGCACACTGGAAACATTTGATAAATTGAGCTTTTATTATTGGTCACTTGAGTGAAGATTTATTCTCTACTTTGTCATGCTTCCAGAAAGGAAGGCAGAAATTTTCAGAAAAAAATTTTTCATTCCTTGGGGTTGGAACGATAGCACAGTGGGTAGAGCATTTGCCTTGCATGCAGCTGACCCAAGTTTGATTCCCAGCATCCCATATGGTCCTCCGAGCACCACCAGTAATAATTCCTGAGTTCAGAGCCAGGAATAACCCCTGAGCATCATTGAGTGTGACCCAAAAAGCCAAAAAAAATTTTTTCACTCCATTTCCTAACAGGGAATGTTATAGGAGGAACATTTCAAGAATGCCTTTTGCACAACACACATCTATTTCATGAAAACAAGCAATTTCTCTGATTGAAGCAGATTAAAGCATTTGTAATATAAATAAATGTTTCATTTGACTCTTTCTATTCCTTTTGTCTTTATTGTCTCAGAGCACAAAGAATAACATTTTTTGTCAGTTCTTGGTCATGCAATGGATGTAATGGTCTATAGACTGTGACTGTGAATAGGCATATGAGTTTATGTAACTGAGGGTGAATTATTATGATGTCCCTTTGAGTTAACACATCTGCATCATGTTCTCTAGTTTTTGCCAGCCGCAAAGCTAACATTTCCATCACTCATCTGTCTTGTTCTTATGTCTCCTAACTTGACACAAATTTGAAAGAAGAATATGAGTGATTATAGCTTACGCCATACATTACTTGCCAAATGTCGAATACAGTCATAAATATTTTAATATGTACTAACTAATTCTAATAGTCACCTCTCAGCTCTTATTATTCCCAATTTACAGAAAGGGAAGCTGACACAAACAAGATTCAAGTTCTTGGTTATGGTCACAGCTACAGGTAGCTAGGTTTGAGAGTCTGTTCTTCTCATTACTACTTTAAATCTCCCCAAATGCTACTATTTCTGTCCTGTTATAATCAATAACCATCAAAACATAGATAATTGCCCATATAATGTCTTTTAAATGCCCTCCCCCCTCCATCTATGCTCTCTGGATCTTTAGGTTGAAATTCACACTGCCTAGAATCTCATTCTCTCTTTTTTAGCTGAGAAATAAAGATACTAAATGAAAAATACTCAGAAGATCAGCTATCCCTTTCATATCCATAACCCAACTAACACCTGAAGTGTTTCTTGCTGCTGGCCCATTTCTGGCTATACCATTTCTGCAGTGCTCAAAGGTATCAAAAAAGTCTTCATTTCTCTAAGTCTTCATTTCTCTAAGTCTCCCTACTTTTCCTCATTATACCTGGCATGGAACTTGGGGTTTAGAACATGTTATTTTGGTGCTTGTTTTGGTTTTTCTGTCTTAATATCTCCTGGAAGAATGAAAAACACTTTATCTTCCCTAGAAATGATGACCAGAGGCAAATCACTCCCGTAATAAATTTTCCAAGGAGTCACCAGGACTCCACTTCAGCCCCAGTTCACTGAGTGTCTGCTGTATTTATAGCACTGGATGGCTGCTCTCACATGCAGTCTTACTCTATTCTCACAACAATCCTATGCAAAGAGCTGGAAGGCTGACTGTCTCATTTGACAGACAACTAAACTGCGGTTAACCAACGAGAGAGTCGGAGCAAGAGTCACACCAGATAGGTACCTGGACTTAAAAGCTCAGGACTCTTGACATTGCCACATAAACATTTCTTACACAAATGAACACTGGAGACATCTTATAATATAATAGGAGCTGCCTGGGCACCATGGGCTTTGAGAATGAAAAAACATCCTTTTCAAGGATAAAATCCACGCCTGATGCGATTTCTTGGATGAAAGTAGGAGATGAAAACTAGAGAGAAGGTGGTCGGTCTGCTTTTCTGAGGAGAATGCACCTCCCTTCATTACCACCATCCCACTCTCACTCACCGCCACTAACCTGTACTCTTTTCTTCCCCTCGCCCCCACCTTTGACCACATGTGGACTTACTCTGCAAGAACTGAGAAACCTCTTCCAGCTGGGGAATGTTGTCCTCACGGAAGCCGCAGTACTTTTCCAGAAGTGGGAAAATATGGTTGTGCTCATAGCAGGCATGGGTTTTATACAAAGACTTCAGGGTCTTGAACACCGTGCCCCAGGTTTTCTTTTCTTCCTCTGTGTATTCCACTCGAGGAATGGGCTGTCCACTAGAATAGAGGCATAGAGGTCTGAGTCCAGCAGGGCAGTTGCGGAAGAGAGGTTGACAGAGGATTAAGCCGCTCGAGAAGAGTCCAGAGTGTGCCACCATCCAGAGTACAGTGGAGTTTGTAAGTGACTTAAACATGGAAAATTCCACTTCCTGATACAGGGAACATTTGTCCGTTTTGGTAAGGCAAAAAAAAAAATCACACAAGCTCTCAGCTTACCAACTGTACCAAGGAATTGTTCTCACTTGGGAAACTACTTGGCCTTTCTTCACAATCATCTCACCAGTGGTTTGCCTAAGGTAAGCATTTACTTACCTGTAAGAGTCAGAGAGTGAAGTGGCAAGAAGAGGATTTAGACAGTTGGAAGTAAAATTGGGACAATTAAGAAAGACACTTCCTCTTTCCAAACAAAGGCATCCAAGTTCAATTCAAAACAGATCAGAACTTTTTTGATGTCAACAGAAGCAATTATTTAATCCACGGGAGCTAAAGTGGATATAATACATGCCCCTTTGTTTAGAGCACAGGCATTTGGTAGATTTCATATTTCTGCTCCTGGGAAATTGTAAAGCATGTACATCAATGCCTGTGAGTATGAGAAATGCTTGCCTAGAACTTGACCTTTGACAGAGAAGCACCTATACTAGATCTTGTCCCATAGATTCTGAAACGTGGGTACTGGAGTTCCAGGCCTCTAAATTATGATACCCCTCAGATGACACACTTCAGTGTGAGACTCATCAGTTCAAAACGTCCTTGTGAAATGCATCTTTGAATGAGCTGTGTTCATTCGGAACAGTGAAAACAAATGAAAACTAAACCAAACCTGACTTCAAAGACCAATGACTGTTTTCTGGGCTGCAGGCCTGTTTCCTAATAGGGCACAGAGTGTCCAGGACTAGCAATACTGTTTACTTCAGAATTGTGGGTCATTGTTTAAACTTCAAACTAGGTCCCTCAGAGCTACAGCTCATCCAAGAACATTAAAGCAAAGTCTTTCTTATGTTCCATGGAAAGGTGAATAAGGATTATAGAGAATGCAGGTTTCTGTTTTTTGCTTAAACCTTGAAACTAAGACAAGCTCAGAAAGCCCTATAATGATAAGCAGAGAGTTTCAGAAAGAATCACAGGCCTCGTCTAAGGATGCAGAATTATTCATCATTTTGGAGCTAAGTGCAGATAGAGGAGAATAGGTTTTGGGGAGGAACAGAGATGAGTCTGGTACTCAGTTCTACCATTTCCTAACTTGGGTAAATTTCTTAGTCCTCAAGCAACTTAGTAAACACAGTTCTAACAACTGTTACCTAGGGTAATAACTGTAGGGGAGAATTAGGTGAAATACTATGTATAAGGTACCTAACATTGGTGCTGACAAATATTATTGGGTAACTTGTAATTATCATTATGACTGACTTTAATTTAAAAAGAAAAGGTATCTGCTATTTATGCAACAAGTTTGGAAGAGATAATATCCTGGGCACTGAGATGCCCCTAGCTGACATTTTCTTTTCCAGGAGTTTCATATCCATTTCCATTCTTCCAGAAAAGCATACTCATTGGTGCCAGACAGATAATACAGCAGGTAGGAGGCCAGCGTTGTGCCCAGCCAACCTGGCACCCCACATAATCCTTTAAAACAAGAAATCTTGTTATACAGTAACATATGGATGAACTTGAAGACATTCTGCTAAGTGAACTAGGTGGGTCATAAAAAGATAAAATGCCCTCACGTGTATGAGGTATATAAAATAATCAAATACAGAGAAGCAGGGTCAAACGATAGTTGCCAGGGGCTGAGTGTAGGGTAAAGGTGGACCTGCTGTTCAGTAGGTGCAAACTTTTCCATTCTGATAGATCGCTTATTTCTAGAGATTTACTGTACCTATTTGTATTTATGGTTAATATGATTGTGTTTTAAAAGTTCAGATTTTTAAGAGTAGATCTCAGACTCAATGTTCATACAACCATTATTTTTTTTTCCTAACAGAGTTCACATTTGTAGTGGAAATAAACAGAAAATCTGCGTCATTTATTAAATGGTGACAAATACTGTGGATTTAAACAAAAGTGAAGGCACACAGAGTGGCAGGACAGGGTTTCAATTTTACATTGGATGTTTAAGATGTTCTTTAGAAGAAGGGGCCACTTGAACAAAGATCCGGAAAATGAGGTTTCACTCTGGAGTCTCTCCTTAACTGGAAATATCTCTTTAAGGTTCTGCTAAGGCTTCTTAGAAGATTCTCCACCAGTCCTTTCAATCTGAGTAAATGACGATTCTGTACACCCCCAGATATTACCTCCCAGGAATAGTTCATCCCATACTAAATCTCAGTGATCCCCTGATTTCCTGGAACCAGGTGGAAGAATCTGAATTTTAAACTTTCTAACTTCCTAACCTGGACTAGTTTTCTAAGGGGTATGTGTGTGTGCGTGTGTGTGTGTGTGCGTGTGTGTGTGTGTGTGTTCATTAAAAAAATGGACAAATACCATTTATAATGTTGTAATAAAATTAAAAATCAGTGTGTGAAGCCACCTGAATATAACATTTTTATGCTTTATTTCTGCACATATGTACCACCATCACCAGCAGATAGACTTCCATTTATTTTTCAAAGTTTATTTAGGAATTTAACTCAGAAAATTTTCTTTTTATCTTCTGTATCCACAAAATGGCCTGAGATTCAAAAAAATTATTTGTCCTCAAGTAAATGATCAATCATTTTTAAAAGGCCATCATGGCATTAAGTAAAATAAACTCATATATTTTAGGAACAGCATCAAATTGCTTAAAATAAAAAATTAGTTACATTAAACATGTTCTTTTAAAACATGTTTTAATTAGAAGGGTCTGTTTCTGAACTATTCTATGAACCAAATATAGTATTCAAGACACTCAGTACCTGGCAGAGTCTTTCCATTCTTGTTCTAATTTATACCAAGCCTTCTTACATGTAGAATTATTGCCAAGTGCCCCAAAACACAGTAATTTGTCAGTGAATCTTCTAATTGATGTTCTGAAGATTGTTTAATGTTCTTAGTGAGGAGAATTAGAGCACTGCATGGCACAGGAAAAGAGAAGGAAGTGACCAACTGAGGTGAACTTTAGCTGTTTCCTTAATAACTGCGGTAATTCATCCCTGACTGTGAATACACACAGCTCAAAAGCCCCATCACTAACAAGTTCCATCCTTTCTCTTTGGCTGACAAACTCTACATCTTTAATTCTCAGCCTCAACTTGACTTCTTCCTAAACCATACTACATTAATGCTCTAATGCTCCTAATTATATGTCATTTTTATTCCTTTTTATAAAAAATTTTTGCCACATCTGCTATATTTTTTTGTAACTTCAGTAATTGACTGTCTTCCCCAGTATTTCCCCACTGATGTGGCTCTAATTTAATTTGCCTCTGTTGATCTTGCTCTTGAAGCAGGTTCTAGAATAAGTAAATACATTTATTAATTGATAATTATCATATGATGGTATGCTTTACAGTACTGGATTTGATCCCCATGTGGAACAATGACTGGGAAGGTACTAGAGACCAGAATGTGAGAGTTGTTTACAATAAGCCTGATGAAAGACAAGGAAAAAAGCTAGAGTTAATTAATGAGAGAGCTTAAAATTTCTGGAGTGGAAGGAAGATACCTTTTGGATTTTGCAAAAGTCTCAAAAAAAGGAGGAGGGAAAGCAGCAGGGTGAAATTCATTTAATTCTCATTATCTGCTGTATTTGGATTTCTTAAAATCACCATGAGCTGTCAATAAATACTGAACCATAGTTCTTATCAGCATCTGAGCTCATCTTTTTCATAAACCAGTAAAACCTTACTTGCTTGTGTGTGTGATTCTCTTCAAAGACCACTTTTTCAACACATATGATTTTACTGAAATATGATTATATATGTATGAGTTTCACATAAACTAAAGCAGGTAATCCTTGCACATTGAGAATCAACCATTGCTAGAGAAGGTAAAATTCTTTAGATAAATAAGGAAATGACACTGGCATCCAAAGTTCAAAAGAGAGAGCTAGGGACAGAGAGATTCTTATTGAATAAAGGTTCCTGCTTTGCAAGCAGCCAACTAGTTCAATCCCTGGCATAACATTTACTCCCCTAAGCATCACCAGGAATTATCACTGAGCATAGATCCAAGAGTAATTCCTGGTCCTATGTACATAAAGACTATCAATGTTAACACAATTGTAAACACATAGCCTTAACTGTGGTAATTTTTTAAAAAGAGATGAGCTAGGGATTAAGAGGGCTTACTTGCAAATATAAGGTTAGGAGTTTCTCCATAACCCTGATTCCTGACACCAACCCACGCGTGCAGAATCTAATTCCAATGACAATGACATTTGGAATCTCAATAAATTATAGTCTCTGGCACACTGCAACTATGTGTGTGTGGCACTGAAACTACAGTGTAGCCCTCTGTTGAGCATAGTGTGTGCACAACCAAGTGTGCATTATCCCTATTATTGGAACAATAATGAAAATGAAATAACGGGGGCCAAGGATGCGGGAAAGTGGTACAGCTCTATACCCAAAGCACAGACTCAACACTGAAAAAGTGAGATCTAAGCTGTCACCAAACTATCACTGAACTTGGAAAAGTACCTGTCCGGGGGGAAGAGAAGGGAGAGTGCAAGGGGGCCTGTGACCACTGGTGAAAGGAAGTTGACACTCGTGATGGGGTTGGTGTTGAAACATTGTGTGCCCCAAACACGTATCAGTAACTTGTAAATCATGATTCTTTAATTAAATTGAAAAAAATTAAAATAAGAAAAGGAAGGTAAAAGGAATCATTTTTAAAGAGATCAGAGCTAAAATGAAGTTTGAATTTGAGAGTAAATGCAGCCCTTAGGTAGCCACAGAGCCTTAGGTATATCACTTAGCCATCTGGAATTCATCTGTGAAAGGTGGGAAATTGACTAGAAGATTAATATTCCTCTGAGAGACACCCATCCGGGGTTATTTCTAATAATCAAATTA